ATTCACTAGAAATGGGTCAGGTGGGGTCCCAATTTTTTTTTTTTTGTGGGGGGGGCTTTTGGCAACCCCCCCCCCCCCCATTTTTCATCTGCTTAGTAACGATTGTGATTTCTGTGATTGTTTTTTTTTTTTTAAAAAGAACAAAAACAAAAAGCTCCAGGTTTGCTGTGCTTATTTGCACAATTTGGCCAGAAAATGTTGTGATTTTTAAATATATTTAAATATGACTATATAATAATAATAATAATACTTGTTGTTATAGCTACTTATTTTCTAAATAAAAACAATGCTAATATTACATAAGTGTATTTTAATATGTATGGCTGTCTTAATTTCTTCATTTTCAAATGTTAAACCATCATGCTTTTACTTTGACAGAAAACCGCTCTGTGCCTTTAAAGCTTCTCTTTTGTTGACAACAGCCGGTTTATAAGTGCTTCTCAATGCAGATTTGAGAAGTTTAGTGCATGTTGCAATTTCAAATGCACATTATAAGCACATGTAAATATGAGTTAGAGTGGTGCAGAATTTACTGTGAGCTGATCTGAAACACTGAAGACACTGGACCATGATTGCTGTGCTTGTTTGCACAATTTGGCCAGAAAATGTTGTGATTTTTAAATATATTTAAATATGACTATATAATAATAATAATACTTATTGTTATTGTATGTTGTTATAGCTACTTATTTTCTAAATAAAAACAATGCTAATATTACATAAGTGTATTTTAATATGTATGGCTGTCTTAATTTCTTCATTTTCAAATGTTAAACCATCATGCTTTTACTTTGACAGAAAACCGCTCTGTGCCTTTAAAGCTTCTCTTTTGTTGACAACAGCCGGTTTATAAGTGCTTCTCAATGCAGATTTGAGAAGTTTAGTGCATGTTGCAATTTCAAATGCACATTATAAGCACATGTAAATATGAGTTAGAGTGGTGCAGAATTTACTGTGAGCTGATCTGAAACACTGAAGACACTGGACCATGAGATGCTCATGTGTAAATGAACACCGTGCAGCGCATCACTCTGAAACACACAGCGTATATATTTATTTAAATACATCACACCCTTTGCGATCTGGTAATCACGCTAAGCCATATTGCG